ACTTGCGAGCCACGTTGTGCCGATGGAGAGGGAGTTTTCTCAGACCTGTCAAGTTTAAAACCACAATCCGAACATGATCAACACGAATACAAGCTCCTTTTACAGACGATTCGCTTGCATACCTTAATTTTGGGCTGATCTTTCACCATTCAAATCCCAGTCGACTTCTAAGTACTAGACCTACGTGGAATGGTCTTCCTGATCGAATCGTTCGACCATAATTTAGTGAGAAGCGTTATGAATATTAATATATAGTCCAGAAATATCAGCTTGGTGATTGGCTGAGCCAAGAGGTATTTACAGAAAGTTACCCCATCAATGAGTAAGGTTTCGCGTGACTGCGCGAGAAAATGCCTCCAATAAGATCGGTAACAGAACTCTTAGGGCGTTCAGATCATGAATTCTTTTAAAAATGCTCATTTAAAAAACTTAGCAAGGTATTTTATTTTGGTTTGCCGTGTTTAAGAACACTGCAACAACCTTGCGTGATTTTTGATTTCTCGACGCGTTGAATGACCTTCGAAAATATACGGTAATAAATATCTAGATTTGGCTCTTATCCTATTCTATGTGTCAATGATACGGGGAAATGCTTCAAATTTATATTTCTGATACTCCTTTAGGTTTTTTTCTTTTAATTTTCTTTTTAGCTTTTTTGTGCCTTGTGTAACTATGATGATGATAATAGAACATATATAAAAAGAGAATTCTTATCATTGATTTCATTTTGTACTTTTTCGTCTTTTGACTTTCATTTTCGTTTTTTGCTTTTTTAACCTCTTTTTCGATGTATTTTAACTGTTTACGACTTTATCCGCTAATTTCTTCAATATTTATCCCACTTTCACATAACAATAACATCCCAATATGTAACGCAATACCCTCAAGTATTTACACATACAGCTGTAACGCACAAGTGAAACGCACATTCAAGTGTTACTAACGATACACGTGATTCTAAGGCATACTAAACTAGACCACGTGTTTCAAACTCGAAAATTTCTCACTTCTTGTATCAGTTCAAAGATTTACAGCTGTAAATCTAAGGTCTTCGATAAATAAGATACCAAACTCCATAAAAACAAATCCGTACGTCTGTCTCATTAATAAAA